GGTACCTCAGGGCTCAGTTTTAGGACCTTTCCTCTTTTTGATTTACATCAGTGACACAGATGAAGGAATAGTCAATAAATTACTGAAATTTACAAATGATATTAAGGTTTTTGGATGTTGCTAGCTGTGAAGAGGATGCTGCTAATTTACAAAAGGATTTAGATCATTTAGTGAGTTGGGCAAATAAATGGCATGTGGGCTTTCATTATAATATATGCAAGATAATACATGCATGTTATAATTTAAATTATAAGTATAATTTGGATGGGAATAATCTAAAAAGTGTCATGAAAGAAAGGGATCTTGATGTAATGGTTGATCAGTTTCTTTAAGCCATCTAAGCAGTGTGCTGTAGCTAGTGAAAGGACAAATAGGATTTTTGATTTTATCTACAGAAATATTGAATACAAGTGTAAAGAGGCTATAATTTCATTGTACAGGTCGCTGGTTGAGGTGTTTAAGATTGTAAAGGGAATTGGTAGAATCTATGCATCATCTTTTTTTCATATGTACAAGGTACAAGTCATCTTCAGCTAAGACAATTATATTTTCTAACAAGATGGTTGGCCTCTGAAATGGGTTTTCTTTGGATGTTATGGAGATAGTATATTTAAGTGAGTTTAAAAGAAAGCTTGATAACTATATAAATGATAAGGGCTGGCTTTATGATTTTTATTTATTTACTTAATAGTTTTAGTTTAGTTTAGAGGTTGGGAGAGCTAATAGGTCCCTTGTCCTCCCTCAACATTACGTTATATCATATTTCTTATTAGAAATAAACTAAGCTACAATATTTACTACTCACACTTTATTACATACAATAGATTTTTTTCAACATTACGGGATTTTGTAAATACAAGTAATAAATCATTTACTATTTAAAAAAGCAGGCATTTGTTATAATACTGTATAAATTTCTGTCATGTAATTTTCAATTGTTAAGTGTGTTCAAAGGCGAATTTCAAAATACACCTTAAAGACAAAAAAAGGTGAAAAAAACGTGGTGGTAACCCACAAACATGTTGCATAATAATTGAACAGTGTTGTAGGTGTACAACACGTATTTACAGGATCTAGTAGCACAGTAACCTTGGAAATTATTTCCGTCATGTCACATGACTCGTGCGTTTCTCCCACTTGTAAACATACATCAAGTCTTGTGCAATACAATTCCTAACTTATAGAGCTAAGGATGAAGAAATGGATACTATAATTAAGCTATGATTTTAAAATGGCAAAAACACTGTAACTTGTAAATAAAAAAAAAACGAAATGCGTCACATGTTTTAGACTCCAGTCACGTATCTCCGTCACGTGACTATCGAGTGCGTGACTCCATGTCTCCTTTTCTACTATCTTTCCCACTTCCTTTATTTATAGAATGCTCTATATAATGTTTCCATATGAAGTATACAATAACTATGAATAAATAGGAGCGTTTTCTTTTTTATGCCTTGCCGGAAAAAAATTACCAAAGCACGTGTAAACCATTCACTTTCGACTGTTGTTCAGTTCAATTTAAATATTACCTTTACCAGATGGTCCCATAAAAACACACACTATGACGTATCTGATGATTTATTTCAGACAAACGCCTTGTGCGTGCATAAAGTATTATTGTTGTTTTTAACCTTTAATAATTTACCACACCAAGCGATTTAGAAGAGCTTGTCCAATTTCCTGCAAACTACTTAAGCTATCCGCGATGGCTGTCCGTAATTTTGAAGTGACAGACTAAAAGTGAAGGTAACTAGTAAATGCCACCCACCTCTCAACTCTTGAACTACTGTAAACCAATGAATAGTTGGATTAACCCTCACATTCTAATACTTCCATAGCTGAAAGTGCGAGCATGTTTGGTGTCGAGTTTCGATCCTACGATGTTATTCTAAACACAATATATTTTTGTAATCTTTTCTATAGTTGGATGATTATTTTAGGAATATTTGGTAAAATAACATTAAGTCCAGTACACGTAATGATAACGACTTAATTCATTCATTCAAAAACGTTGACTACAGACTACGTTCGCTTTGACGCAATTTGTGAGCAATTAATACAACGTTCAACGGAAATTTCCTTACTGATCAGCTCACACGAGTGCTAACTTTTACTGCAGTCAGCGAGTTTTTAGTTTATCAACTTGTATTTCTTAAACTTTACAAATAAATTATTGTACAAGTAAAAAAAAAAAAAACGTTATTGTCTCGTCTGATGAATTTTATTTAAAATTTTTTGCACAAGAACTGTCTGTTTTACGTCATCATGTTTGTTTTGCCTCACGTCGATCTGGAAATGGCAACAAAGTCAACAATGCGCTTTAGATTTACAATAGGCGTTGAACCAGCAGTGACGTCATGAAGTTGCAAACCTTTCTCGAAGTATACGTGAGCTTGAGCCTCTTATCGGTTACAAACACGCTCAAATTGTGATTGGTTCTAAATGGAGGTTAGAAAGGGTGTGAGTCTTTCGTTTAATTTTGAGCGTGTCGTGCTTCAAACTGCTTGTTTGGTTTGTGATGTTGGTAACTTGTTCGAAGGTCACGTTTCAAATAGTATTCGTATACTTCTCAGACAACTTTTTCTTTTTGTCCTATTTAACAAGTTTTCTTGAGTTACTCTTAGAATAATGTGTAAATATGTAATTTGGGAACATAGAAAAGCTCAATTTTAAAAGTTTAAATTATTATAAATTTGATAAAACATTTTGTAGTATAAACTAAAAACCATTTTGCAAGTTACAGTTGAAACACAGCGACTTTTTGTGATATGCAAACTTTCATTAATGCTAAATTTCCGGATCAGATTCTAGATAACGAACATATTAAGGTTTTCTTGGATTAAAAAATGTTCATAGCGCGCGCACACACACACACACACACACACACACATATATATATATGTATATACTATATTTTCAGTGTTTTAAAATTGAATTTAGAGTAAAAGAACATCAAAATGCGGTGGATAAATTAAAAACGGGTGAATCGGCCTTGGCGGAACATGTGGTGAATTCTACACGTTACTGATGGGATAATGTAAAAATACTTAAACAGGTAACGAAAATGATGAACTAAACACAAGAGAACCCTTAGAAATGGTTAAAAACAAAATGAATATAAATAGAGATTTAGGCCCAGGAGCCACGGAAGTAAACGTTTGGAAATCGTTATTATAAATTGCGCCATTGTAAAAACATGATAATTATACACGTACATAGGTTTATAATAAAATTCATGTGTACTTCGTGGTTTATTCTCCTGAAGATGGTGGAATTATTTCCACTGAAACATGTAGAGTTATAATAGTTTTTTGTTTTTTTAAACTTTACCAATAAATTATTTTGCAAGTAAAGAAAAGTTGATGTCTCGTTTGATTAATTTTATTTAAAACAAACATGTTTTTAGAAGAACTAGAATTCGTACAACTTTCGGAGAAAACTAAAATAACAAGAAAAACACAACATTTAAACAAATAAGTTTATTTCATCTGGCTACATTTCGAGTAAATTATTTTCGTAAGGCTTAATTTCATTTTCATACCGAGGATAAGGAAGAGTGGTTGCTCGAAACTTAGCTAGATGAGATAAATGTGTTTCTTTTTCAACGATGGGTTTTTACAGTGATTTTATTTTAAAAGAAAAGTTGTTGGATCCACATTTTACTGGAAGTTACCTATGACGACACAAATGTCACGTACCTCATATTCGTAGGAAGGGCCAAATTATATTTTTCAATCTCAACGCTCCTTCGGGCCGTTGGGTATGTTGAAACAACAACGGAAGCTAACGTTCACACAATTTAACTTTAGTTTAGGAGCAGGGTGTGTCAACGCTGAATTTCAGCGTTAACTCTGGAATGAGCTTATTTTTTGAACCAGTTTTAAAATCAGAACTTTTTCACAAAGAATAATTAATGTTACAATGGATACGTTCGAAAGGTTTCTGTTCTTCATATACATTGAAATCAAAATATAACCACAAAGCTAAACTACAGTCGTCACTATAGTATACTAATACTATATATGACTAAAGCACTACCGATGCTTCGGTAATTTTTTTTTTTAATCATCAGAATGTGTGAAAGGGTGGTGAATAGACTGAAAATAGATAATTATTTATATACTAAGCCAAATCATCATAATGTTTTCCATAAAAACATTTACTGGATCGCGACTGGCCATTAATATTTACAGATGGGTCCTGAGCCAAAAAAGGTTGAGAAACACTGTACTAATGAACGTCTAAAATAGTATATACACTTTTCTATCAAGCATATATTCACTTATACAAGTACATCTTTTAACTGAATAAACGAATAGGTTAATGAACTGGATCTATCAAATATAAAATGGCACAATAACTGTAAAGGGAGATATTTGAACACCCATTTAAAAGCTATTTATGCATTTTGCTACTTTGAACTTAAACTTAAAGCACATTTAGCATAGTATGAATTTAATCGTTTAGTACTGTAATATTTTGACACTGACATAGGAAATATGACAATCAGATTAATGACATCATTAAAGTACAACTTTTACTTCTAATTAATTGTAAATGTAGTTTTAGACTTGAACCATATCTTTTTAAAATTCTATTAATAAAAATAAGTCACTGCACATCCTACAATTACAATCTTTGTCAATTTCAGTAGCTCTAAACAAGAAACTTAGAAAAAAAGATAATTACAATTGATAACATATGCATATATATAATGTAGAAAAACGTAGACTTACCGAAGTCGATGAACTGTTTTATTGATAAAGATGAAGGGTTGAATCGAGAATAAAAGTCCAACATTCTGCTAATCTGTTTGAACAATACTAAAGTGCGCTTCATGTTGATTTCGGTAATTTGGGAAAAATTCACTCAGTAATTGTTTTGCAAATTGAAACAATATCTCTATTTAAAGAATTTCTTCAGCTGTTCATTATACAGACCGGTACCCGTCCGTAAAGCAGGACAACCTATGGGTGAAAAAAAAAGGAAAAAAGACACATGAGCAAAAGTATTTTAAAAATAAAATAAAATTAGATATAATTGTTTAAAAATGTGAGCTAAAAATTATAAGTGTTTGCATGAATCAAATTAATAATACACCTCTAGTAGTACACTGTTGCCCAATGACGGCCCCACTAAGAGGGCCTAAAGCTCGCAAATAAAAGTATTTTAACGTAAAGTCACTCATCCCCAGATCTTGACCTACTTTTAATTTTATCTAACTAAAGATACGAGTTTAACCGTTACTCTCAACAGCTCATCTAAGGCTCTAAACTAAAGTCTAAAGTACAAACACACTGATGTATTTAAAAAAAAACAACATAAATACAAGATAATATAATTTTCAGATTTTCATCTCTTTCTACCCCACACGAAAGGCCCAGAAAATTATACTAGATATCTTTACGTCAGTGGATTTATTTCACTTTTTTAAAGTAACATATTAGTAATATTATTACCACATCAACACGTTCTTCAGTTAAAACCTACCTCTTATAAACTGAAAATTTACCACGTTCAACTTCCAGTGCAATTACATCATTCAGTACTACCACTTTTCAAAAAGCACACTTTGTACTCTGTATACACGTTCCTCAGCCTAAATCTGCACTTGGAAGGTACCGGTTGGTCGTGTTAAAGTATAAACAGAAAAAATAGCATCACTAGTCTAACCTTGCCACTAAATCTGTTCCACAATGACAGAACTCCTGGTAGTTTTAGTAATATTAGGAACACGGTACAGTCTCGCAGCTGCTTTCTACTCCATACACACACTTGTAACAAATTGTATGTACAGATTATTAAATTTGACCTTCGTACAGCTACAACTGCACAGTAAAAGCACGACTAAAATTATTAGCAGCAATAAATATAACATTCACTAGCGTCTCCGGTTTAACTTTCCCGAGAAATTTTATACTCTAAAAACCAGGGCATCAGAAAGCATATTTGAGATTGTTCAAAACGTGTGTAAAATATCACTAGATCGCCCTGGTCCGTGTATACATATAAGAAACTAGAGTCATTGCAGATAAATTGTATAAAAACCCTCATTGACGTCATGGAAAGTGGAAATAAAAGCCACCAATTGTGCCACCTAGCGATACCTAATTAAATTAATTTTTCTATGTTCTTCTTCTAATTTATTTACTTTTCTATTTCATTTAAATTTACAGTTACTCGAAGTTATAATAAATGGTTAAACTGGTTAAACAATAATTTGAAAGTATGTATAATCAAACATAAATACAATAATTTAAAAAAAATAAAATGGAAATGTATGTAAAACATCAATAAGTGTGCACTTCTCTAATAATATTGTTAAACTAAATTAATTCTCAGCTTAAGTAACTTACTGATCTAGATTCTTAAAATACACATAATTTTATTATTTTGAACCTAAGCGGCAAATTATACGACGCTTAAGGTAAATGGCCAGGTTAATGACCCATTAGACTCAGCAATATACGTCCATAATTTATAATAGCTAACCAGTCAGGAGCACACGCTGCCAATGCAGTTTTGCTTTTAACAAAGAGTGATATCTCTGATTGCCCATGGTGTAACTCCCCCAGAATACCTCCCATGGATAAAATATAAGAACAACGACAATGGTCGCAATTAAAAGACCTCTAGAGCTGAAAATGCGAAGCGTATTTCGCAGCAAATCGCGGCTCGAATTTGGACTCTACGATCCGCAGCTCGGCATGCGATCACCGGGACCCTTCCAATACATAAACATATACACATAAACAAGCATGAACATACCTATATAAAATAAATCATATTCATGTGGCTATATTTAGTTTTAGTGAAGTAATTGAAGAGTGTTAGTTATCGCATATGTTCAGTTACAAGAAATATTAGCCGCGATATTATACAAGAATATTTCGTATGTTAGTCGTAGCACCATTAGTGACGTATTACCTTTGAACTTCATTTATAAAGTTACTTAAGCCTACAAGTTACAACAGTGTACAAGTGAAGGCGGTTAAGGAAGAAATAAACTAAGTTGTTATTGTTACTTGGATTGGACTTTACCTTATTTTCACCAAATAATTTTTAAAATTCAGCCCATAGAATGAAGAACGTTATAACACTGCTGTCAGAGTGGGATTATTTTGGTGAAACAAAATATAACTTTGCATAATTTACTGAGTTTGAGAAAGAAAGAGACTGGACACACACAAAAAATGTATAAAATCACAATGGAACAATCTTTACTCAAACTCACAAATTCAATCAAAATAAAGTTATGTACGATGAAGGACAGTATTTTTACTTTACAGTTATCTCTTTAAAATATTCTAACAACTTACACATGTGTTTAATAGTTTAATAAGGATTAGTTAACGTTATAGGTTACACTATAGGACAGTATTATTATTAATAAAGAAAATACTTAAACTTTACTTAACAAACTGAAAGCTTTAGGGAGATAAGGATCGTTTGTGTTTGTCCGTGGTAGCTATTTAGGTTAATGAAAACCAGGGGTGCTCAAAAGTTGAGAATTTCTCTTCATTCCGCTGATAGCATAAAAGATGTAGTAGAATGGCATCGTGGGAAAAATGATATAAATTTCTCATAACCACATCCAAACAATTGCCACAAAAGCCCAAATGGCCATCCAAACTTGGTTCTTCTAATGGGGAAGATTTTTCTTGAGGAGCTTGTGGAATTTCTTTGCTCTAAGTCCAACCTTGAAGAATTGAAAAAAGGGATCAAGAGACCCCAAAAAATGGGAAGGGTATGAAAAGATCCAATACCAAAAATTATACGTGAAAGGAGGTAAATGGATGTACTCCAAGAAAATACCACTTTCACAAATCAGATATTAAATATTCTGCCCGATCAGTGCTCAGACTGTCTTCTAGATTGGAGGAAAAAGACTTCATTAATTAGAACATACATGTAAGTTTATTATTAAAAACTAGAGGAAAAATGAAATGTAATTTGGCTTGAAGAAACATTTTTGGAGTCATCACTTAGCTAGTTGCTAGGTGTGATATGTTAAAAGGGGCTGACACCAATGGAGTAATCTGTCTTCAGAGTCTTCTTGGATGTCATTGTAGGCATTTACTGCAGACTTAAGCTTACATATAAGCCCCAAGGTTAGACATATTTAGAATAGTGCTTGATGTGTGTTGTGTTCATGGGCTTCAGGATCTGTGGATGTATTGACTTAGGTCTGCTTACTTCGGGTACTTGTTTTGGCCCATGTTTGACATTCAGAAGTAGAAGGTTTTTTCCATGAATGTGTCCATACTCTGGTTCTCCTTGGCCATAGTTTGTATCTGCTGTTCTTTCACTTTTTCTTTGTTATGGTTGTAATTTGTGTTTGTTGATCCATCTTGGATTTATCTTCCTTTGACTGATGTCTGAATTTGTTGATCTGTTGAAGACATGAAGCTTGAGTGGTTTAGGATTTTGTTTCAGTGGCAGTTTTCTCAACTTTTGTGAATTAAACATTACAATTCTGTACTGGACTGTGATATTTCTTGGGAATAGTTTTATGCTTTGAAGTGGCAGTATTCCATGAAACATCCAACTTTTATAAAGTGTGTTGTCTTTTTGGTTTACCTGGAGATATTTTGTGAACTGCATGGATTTCTTCGATAAGTATTTTAGAGCTTGTTTAATTTTCTGAGTAGTGATAAAGAGATCAACGTTTCTCAAGAAAATTCTGCTACCGTACTATACTGACTGGTGTGTTACAACAAACTGTTAATTGAAAATTCCACGGTGAACAAAGGTATCTGAAAACTTAGGACCTTCGTGGCTGAATAAAAATTGCGCCATAATGAAGTGTTTTTGTTGTTGTTGTTTTGGGGGAGGGAGGGGGTATGAATTTTGACTTCAGTTTTGAAATTTTTGTTGAAGTTATAAATGTGTCCCATGGAATAGGTGTAAAGCAAATCTTCAGTTATCACTGACAATGGCATGGTATTAGATAGGTCTTCACTCTAGGTTAATTAGGCTGCGTCTGAGCACCTGTTTTTCTGTTGCTTGGTGTCTCTGTCATATATTCTCGAGATGCATGCGCCACATATGTCGGCATTGGTGAATCCCATTGAAAAATAAAGGAGGTTATAGCCTTGAGAAATTGATATATCTCCTGACTTTCTAGTAGAGGGCACAGTTTCCTAAATTTTTGCACAAGGTAATGCATTACAGAAAGGCAAAGGAACAAAGGCAGCTAGAATGAAATCAACTTAATAACTTTCTTGGTTTTGGGGAAAATACATATACTAAACTTAAAACGTAATTAAATTCATAAACTATTTATCAATTTCTTGCTAATAAGTTAACACACAAATGTTTGCTGTTTGCTTAGTTCTACGTGATGCTGGAATGAAACTATATAACACTTCCCTCCTACCTCGACTAAGGCGTTCCAGGGAGTCAATCAACAAGTCTTTCTTCAGGAGAGATGGTTGATATTTAGACCCCTTCTCTCCTGGATACGCTACTTCCTGAAAGAAACGTTGTATAAAGGCTAATACACTGTCTGTTGCGTATCCCTAACCTTGGGGGTGGGTTTTTTTTTATGATATTGAAAGAAAGGCACAGAACCTGAATTTGTATTTGCAAACAACACAAGAAATATTCTGTATCAAGTTAGAAACTTACAGTCGAGATGATGGCTTGTCTCCGCTGGTCTACTACTTGAAATAGAGGAAAACGAGGGCTTACATCTAGTGAAAGTGCTGATGTTAAAACCTGGTCTAGAATCTTCCGATAACCATCGTTTGTTGAAGTCATCTTTGCTGAGTCGATACCGTTCAGCTCTTCTGCGCACACGAACGGCTTCTTTTTTTTTTTTTTCAAGTTTTCTGAGGCGTTGTCTCGTGTGCGCTGAAAGATACCTTATATCTGTAGACCAAAACCTGCACTTTCAATTCCCCTAGTAAGTACAGAAAAGACTTAGGAACAGGAACAAGATGAGAGACAAGATTGTAGTAATCGTGACGTATTTGATATTAACAATGAAGGCAGACTTCCTCCATATAGCTGCATGACGTACAGTTTTAATACAGCAGCAGAAGGGGCAGTAAGTTACCCAAGTGATTTGAATTTTATTTAACTTGGCTCTTACAGGACGATTTCAGGGGTAATGTTCCTGGCTAGGTCGCGTCTAAACGCTTGGCGTTTACCCTATCTCGTACTCTATTTCAATTTACATGTGATAACTGCTTTGTATTTTTGGTTGACATTCTGGCTACATTAAGTTATATATTTTATTTGTGTTCACTTTTTCTAGATTCTTGTTACTGTGGTCTCTTACTACTGTGATGATGTTTTTCAGGTGGAATTTTAGGTAGCTAGAGATTGTTGCTGCATTTGATTGGTTGGTAATTGCGTGATTTTAAAATACTTACTATTAGGGCCTAATAGGTAGGTTGTGAAGTAGTCACTAGCGTGGTCAGATTTTAGGCACATGTAAAGTCTGTTCAAATAGCTGTGAAGTAATTACTGAAATCAAACATGTCAAGACCCTCTATTTCATTTAGTTTAAATGCATGTGCATTAAATGCATTTTTGTTCATCAGAAAATAACATATATATATTGTAAAGAAAGTGATGGGTTTATATTATCTTTAATTTAAAATCAAATTTCACCTGAGAGCAAACAAACTTCTGTACGTTTGTTCCAAGTAACATAGCATGTGTATCAATAAAATAAAATATTCAGAGATTCAACAAATGACTCATGTTTGGAAAGGAGGTCGTTACCTGATCAATACAAACCTTCGAAAGTACTGAAATTTTTGTATCGTTACCTACGTTATTGCTACCACTTAAGTGCATCTTGAGATGTGATACATAAGCTCACATCATTTCGGTTTCCAGTTACTTCGTCTGGTATATTATAGGAGTTTTTCAAACTAGATAATAGTTAACTTATCTCATTCTATCTGAAGGTTATATATCTCTTTAGGGTGACATAAAAGAAATATATTTTGTAAAAGTCTAGCCCATTTTATAACATATGTGTTTTAATGTCCAAC